AAGCCAGAGGCACTGTAGGAGGCCACGGGGTGGCCCAGGGAGGCAGGCCAACTTCGAGGTTGGCATGGGTCCCTCCCCATGACCTCTGGCAGTGCGAGGCCCTGGCAGGCCCAAGACACTGGAGAAAAAGTATAAGCACCGCAACTCGCAAAGCCCAGGAGTTCAGGCTGCTACATGGCTGAGGGGCAGGTTGTGGGTCTGTGTGAGGCGGCAGTGGCCGAGGGGTTCTAGGCCCACAGCTGGAGCGACAAGCCAGGGCGGGCCAGACAGGAGGGGCAGCCCCGGGTTCGGGGCACAGAGAGTTGTCGGGACCCTGCGAGGGTCCCTGGGGCGCGCTATTCTGGGCCAGGGGACTCTGGGACTGACGCACAACCTTCATACCTGTGGAAGCTTCAGGAGAAGTTGACGGTCGAGGCTGCAGAGTTGATCTTCCCCAGCCACGGAGAGGTTGGTGGTGCTGCCGCAGGGGTGGGCGGGCATTTGCGGGGTCCAGTCCGCCAGTGCCCTCCGCCGTGGCACCTCGGTGTTCTTGGCTCGGATGCCTGACTTTACTAGCAGATGAATGGGCGCACATCGTTTATATCTTTGTTGAAATTCACGGTATGTTCATCACAGGCCGTTTCCACAGGAGGACACGTGTCTGCACCGTGCGCAGAGCCCCCTCTGTCCCTTGTCACCTGGGACCCACCCTGCCGCACACCGCAGGTGCAGTGCGGAGGGGGCGGGGCCTCCCACAGGAAGGTGAGGCGGCTGGGGCAGCACCCTCCCCGACCAGTCACGTGGGCGGTCCAGTGACCCGCACTTCGTGTGTTGGACATATCACGTTCCGCCTTCCTCCGACAAAGGAAGCTGGAGAGAATGAAAGGGGGATGAGAAAATCACAAGGGAGAGAGAACACGTCCCGAGTGCTGTCGTATTTATTGAAAAACTCTGTTTACACCAGGCGCCTCAAAACCATGCTGTCGGCAGTCAGCCGGACTCCCTGGTCAGCTGTGCCCCTTGCTGTCCTTTCCATTTGCACCCCCTCCCCCACCAAGTAGAAGGATACGGGAAAGAGGACGGGGGACTCGGGGACCACAGGAAGACGGTTGACAGCAACCACACTCTGGAGTGCGCAGCTCCGAGAGCACTGTCCCCACGGCCCGCAGCGTCCTCAGGCATCTGCCATTCCGAGCCACTCAGGGACAGGATATTGTGGGTGAGTGCCCAGGTTTCACACCTAAGGCACAAGTGTGGCCAAGCCAAGAGGCCACGGGTCATCCCACCTGCACCCCACCCGCCGCCCTGGACACCAAGATGTCTTTGGTTTTCTTCCCCGGTGCCCCAGGAAAAGGCCGAGATGTGCAGTTTCTCTGAGCCCCGTGGGGACACCACGGTGTCTCATTTCCTGGGGCTGGGTTGGCGCCACTCGCGCCGTCAACTCCCCTCGACCCGAGGCACACGGGGCCTGCACTGGACACCCTGCTCCAGTGCCCAGGTTCTCCCACTGACTGGTCGGGACCGAGGTCGAGACGTCCTTAGGGCCCCCGTCCTCCTCCTCGTCATTCTGCTCTGCAGTGCCACCCGGCCACCACGCAAAGGTGTCAACAGAGGGTGAGGGATCTCGTTCTATATTCCCTTCGAGGTTCCCAGCCCCTAAGGGGACATAGCAGAATGTTCTGGAAGTTGTTTTAAATTAGCGGGAGAAAATCTATTCAGTAAGGGGGAAAATAGTATTTATTTCATTTTTGAGAACTAGCTACAAACTAAGACATTTCATTCCTGTTAGTCTCTGTAATTCTGATTTCACAGGCACAGTCCCCTCATTTTGTAAGTGTGAAGTCACGTAACTACCCAGACACGGGCCTTTAGCGGGTGCAGAGCTGCAGTTTCCCAGGGTTTTCTGCCTCGAGGGTGGTGCCCCTCCTCTCAGTTCTGCTTGCCAGCAACGACCTCAGTCATGCTCCCGAGGTGGCTGCAGGTCTCCCACAATCGGACCTTCTCGAGAGCTCGTTCTCTGTGGCTTGGTGCTCTCCTGATGGGGCACTGGGAGCGCGTGGCCGGGTCAGGAGCGCCCAGCAGCCTGCCGTGGGCCCGGCCCTTGCTCTGGACATTGGAGCTTGCCCTGGTGGATAGAGTGCACACATACACAAATACAGAAGCACACATGCGTGTGCACACAGACACATGCACTTACACACGAGCACAGAGAGACACACACACACACACACACTGCAGACAAGTTCACGGTGAGCATCAGCGATTGGAGCCCTGCGGTGCAGTAATAGAACAGTTAACTTGGGGCGGGGAGATTCATCCCAGAGCTGCTTTGATGGCTTTCTATTAGGCTGCCTATTAATATAATTCATCATCTTAATAGGCAAGTGGAGAACAGTTATTTGATAAAATTAAAAATGAGTTTTAATAAGAACTTACAGTGTAAGACCGAAAGAGTCTTCCTTTGCATGAAAGAGATTTTCTCGTTGGGCGCCACCCTCACAGGCTGCGCTTCCGCAGTGCACTTCCTTGACGTGCTTCAGGCTGCGGGAGGGTGCATTTGTTCAACCAACCGCTCTGAAACGTACTCAGTGTAATGTTTGGACAAGAAAACAAAACGGAAGGTGTACATGTTCTAAAGAGAAGGCAAATTTACATTTTTATGTATGATCTGAATTTCAGCTCTGCAAAAATGCTAATAAAACCCAGTGGCGAAGGGTCCAACAGAGGGCTGATTAGTGACCGTAACTCGTACACGCAGGTCAGTGCCCAGGAGTCAGAGTGGCTGCCGGCGGCGCGCGGGTGGGGGCAGACCTGGGGGGGTCACCCTCGGGCCCTTTAGTCTTTGCCACGTGCTGGATCGTAATCCGGTGGTGTCGCGTTTACTAGGTTATTAAAATCACACCTGCATCTTATGTGCTCTTCATATGCTGTTTCTTACATTAAAAACAGCCAGCAAGGAAATACTGGGGAGGAGAGTAAATTTGCAAGAGCAACAGGAACAATGACAAAAATGTCAACAGGCTAAGAGAGAAGGTCCCCTAAAACTTGACTGACTGGTGGGAAGGAAGCTTGATGAACAGAGGGACTGGCCGTGCTCTGACCCGGTAGGGTCCAGTTAGGGGGCTGGAAATTCTCCCTGAATTCGTCCATAAATTTAACACAGTATTGAGAACAGGATTTTTTTTAATTTTAAAAAAAAAATTATTTTTAGGGAAGGGAGGGAGAAAGGGAAAGAAACATCAACGTGTGGTTGCCTCTCACGTGGCCCTGACTGGGGACCTGGCCTGCTACCCAGGCATGTGCTTTGACTAGGAATCGAACTAGTGACCCTTTGATTCACAGCCCGTGCTCAATCCACTGAGCTACACCAGCCAGGGCTGATTTTATTTTTATTTTTAAAGATTTTATTCATTTTTAGAGAGGGGTAGGGAGAGAGAAAGGGAGAGAAACATCAGTGTGTGGTCCCATCTTGCACACCCCCTACTTGGGGACCTGACCCACAACCCAGGCATGTGCCCTAACTGGGGATTGAACCGGTGACCCTTTGGTTGGAAGTCCACTGAGCCACACCAGCCGGGGCTGAGATTATGGTTTTAAAGGTCTTAGCGGAATAAGTGCTTGAGAATAGCCGTGAAAAATAAAAGAAAAAAAGTGTGAAAGAAAACTTGCCTTGTTGGTTATGAAAACATTTTGAAGGTATGGTTGGAATAGACATTTAAGATAGAACAACAGGTAGTTTCAGAAATGATCTGTGTGTGTAAGAATTCATCATTTCGGAAAAGAATGAATTACTTAATACCTGGGATTTAGGGCACATGGCTGACCATTCAGGAATTTTAAATCCCTCCTTCTTACTAAGATAAATTCCAAATATACCAAAGATTTAAGTCTAAAAAAAAAACTCACAAAAGAACTAAAATTATCAACTGGGAGAATTAAAAAGTCAGGAAGTAATAGATTTTATTTAACGAAAAACTTTAAGTTCTATATGGCAGAGAAAAAAAAAATTTAAGTAAAAGGATGAATCCGGAAAAGCTGTGTAACAGATAAGAGAGCCTGCGGGGGGCGCCGGGAGCTCTGCTTTCAGGACCCTGCCCCTCCACTCCCCGCCTGGTGCTCAAAAGTGGTGCTTTAATATTCTGTCCAGAGCTGATTGTTATTGGCAAGAGGACTGTCTGATACGAATATCTCGGTCATTCCTGAGACCTACAGTCCCAGGCAATAAGGACGGTACTGATAAAAGCACAGATAACCAAGTAGTGTGTTTGCAGAGGACTCAGAATAAGACTGGAAAACGCCTTTCCTCCGACCCTCTTCTGCCCTGAGAGACCCGTTTGCCCGGGACCACTCAGACCGGCACATGCGCTGCCAGGGGTCGCTGCTGGCAGTGCCATTGTACAGCGGAGTGGACGCGGTGTAGCTCCTGGTGGCACTGCCCGGCCCTGTTTCCTGGGCTCTGTGAGTGAGGGGCTGTGGATGCCGCAGCCACAGCTGGGACGAAAGCTGCCTTTGCAGGCTGAGCTGGGCTAGGTCCTGAGCGTGTGAGCCCACAGGCTGGTTGCTCGGTCCCCACAGCTCTGTGGGGTGGCTCAGCCCTCAGACAGCAAGTCTTGGCTCTGATGCTGCTGATTTTGTGACCATTAAAATCATGTGGTGGAATCAGTCCTTGTTGTCTCCTGCATGTGTCTTCTGTGTGCCGGGCACTCCCCCCAAGTACTTTCTCCAGAAGCAGAAAAGGAACTTCCCGTCACCGTCATTTGGTGGAAGCTCCCTTCCCGTGGTGCCCCTGCCTCTTCTAGGCGGTCATTTCATGTCACTGCGCACATGTCTCTCTCCTTCCGTGGACAGCTCTGCAGTCTGGCACCCAGACACTGTCCTTCAGAGAGCAGACGCTGCCCGGATGAAGGAAAGCCGGGCCGCTGTTCCACCCGGGCCGCCCGTCCCCACTGCCGCTGCAGCCTGCGGTGCTTTCTCGTCGGCCCTCCCGTGTTCGTGGCTGACTCCCTGCGCTCTCTCCACAGGTTCTGCATGCAGAAGTGCGTCAGCCTGGTGCCCGGAGTCACACTGGACTTGATAGAAAAGTAAGTGAGGTTCTCAGTGCCGGGGTGTTCTGCTCGGGGTCTCCCTTCTCACTCTCAGAAGCACTTCTGCCAGCGCAGGGTGGTCCCCTCTTGAGAGGGTGTGTTCTCTGTGCTCTCATCAAGGATTCGTGAGGGCGGTACCTTGGTGCCCAGCGTAGGACACAGGTCAGTGTGGGGCCAGATGAAAGAACGAGAATCCACATTTGGACCCTTTCCGTTGTTTAAAAGACTCCAACACTGGGCCGGAGCAGAAGTGCATCATCGCCTGCTCCGTGCGGTGCCGGGTAGGTGTCCTCTGTGACGCACCGGAGTGTGTGGCTTCTCTTGTCCTCTGGGTCCCTGGGCCACTGTCTGCCTCTGGCCGGGCACCGCCTCGGGTCCAAAACGCCAGCCTGTGCCCAGCATGCGACTGTGCTGTGTGCGTTTCTCAGTGTGTTCCTGTGCCAGCCCTGACCCGCGCCAGTGGGGGCGGTGCTGAACCCTTGTGCACCGAACCTCGCTGCTTCTCAAATGCACACGCAAGATGACTGTTTTCTAGGTCAGGGCGTGCAGAGTCACGTGTTCCAGAAGCCGAGGTAGGGAAAGCAAACCTGCTTCTAGGCTTCTCCTAGAAGGCGCCTTGCCCGTGAGCCCAAGGACCTGTACCAGAACGTCGTTCCTATGTGCCATCGACAGGGACGGGGGTCGGTCACAGGAGGCTCTTCCCACGGGGGGCAGCTGCCCCTGGGCAACATGGAATGGGCTCGCAGATGCATTGTTAAGTGGGAAAATGGGCCCCATGCACACAGTAGGATGCCGAGAGGGTCTTCTAAACAGCCCACACTATGTGCGCTCCACCTAAAGGAGGCGGGGAACAGTGCCCTTCTGTTCACTCCAGGGAAGAAGGCGGGATTTGGAGAAGGCAAGGAAGAGAGTGTTAGTGGTTGATTTCCGTCTTTGAAAAATGTTTACCAGAATAAGGGCATGGAGAATACGTGTAAAAGTAGATCTAAAGGGAAGAGTCAACAAAATATTAGTAGAAACCTGCAAACGGTTCCGTAACAGTAGAAACCTGTAAATTTGGGATGGGTGCGTGGAAGCCATGTGCCTCGTCCCCCATGTGCTTGGACAGAGGGCGCCATGGTGGAAACAGCTGGCCTGACCTCGGCCAGAGGCAGCAGGGCAGTGGGGCGGTCAATGGCCCCTCTGCTCAAATTGGCGTTGGGCATCACAGGGCCAGCCCCAAGCTGGCAGTGACCCAGGGCCTTGCCAGGACGGCAGTGCAGCCCAGCAGGGGGTGGGGCCATAGTTTGGGCAGGATAGGGCCTGGCGGGGGCCCCTCACAGGCCATGACCGAGCCAGCAGGGAAGCTGCTTCTGGGGGCCGAGACCCAGGTCTTGTGTCTGGAGCAAGGACTGCAGACCGTTGCTGGTGGTTGGTGGAGGCGCAGGCCCCCTGGGGGTGATGCCCGCAGCCGCCACGGTGCCTGCTTCCCCCCAACGACTGTCTGCAGCGGGCGTGCTGCTGCGGGCGCAGCGTCTGCCAGCTCCCCGCGAGTCGTGAGCGCCGGGGGTCTGGGGACAGATGGCGCCGCGCGTGCTTCCGAAGCCGCGTGCAGATGCCGAGCACAGTACGATCCTCGGGAAGCTCACGTGGGAAATCTTCAGAAGCAAGACAACGTCAGGTCTGCCCCGGCAGCCGGTCTGTGCGGCTTGGCGCCCTGGCGGTGTGGGTTCTGGAGGCTGTTCCATTGCCTTCATCTCGTCCTCCTCTCGGTTGCACACGCCCTGTTACCCGAGCCGTCTGCCGCCACCTCTGTGGAGTTTCTCAGAAAGCCGTGTCCTGAGGGCTCCAGCACAGCTGTGCGTCACTGTGGCTGGGGGGCTTCTCTCCTGTTCACACCGTCGCCGGCTTGCAATTGTCTTGTTACGATTTACCTGCTGGTGACGTTAAATGGGCAGAGCTGCGCTGGCCCTCCCCTCCGATTTCACTGGCTCGAGCCTGGCGTGCGGTGTGTGCGGTGCCGCCCAGCCTCTGGGCGGTGCATGCGGCAGTGGCAGGCCACGTGGCACGTGGTCTCAGCCTTGTCTCTGTGGCCCTCCCCACACCCAGGCCCGCCCTTCGCCCAGCCAGCTCCCGTCCTGTTGCTGACCCAGGTGTAACGGTGGGCAGGCGCCACACCAGAAGAGAATCTGTACGTTGGGCTTGATTGAGAGTGAAACTGTCTTTTCCCTGGAAGATGTGGCTAGGGAGGCGGAAAGACAAGCTGCAGACTTGTGGACAGTGTTTACAAGGGACACAGCTGGCGAAGGGCCTGTATTCAGAATCCGTGACAGCATCTAAAAAATCTCAGTTAAAAAACTGGCAAAAGTTACAAGGAGGCTTCAACCAAGGGCGACTTCGGGACAGGACAGCCAGTAACGCCCGGAAGGCGCTCAGAGGAGTCGGCGACGTCAAGGAAACGCGTGGGGAAGCCACAGCGAGGGGCCGCCACGCACCCGCTCTGAGGACCCAGACGAGAAAGACTGGCTACACACAGCACTGGGGACAGCGTGGAGCCACAGGGGCTCCCAGTGCAGGCGGGCACTCGGGGGGCCTGGTCCCCCCGGAAAAGCAGGCTGCGTCTCACCTCCAGGCGCTTGGCCCCGGGGCCCAGCGGTCCTCTGCTGGGCAGTTGGATTATGTTTGTGTTTTGTGCCAGGACAAGTTCCAAACTCTGGGATTCTACAGAAATTCCGCCCGGCCCTGGAGGACAGCGAGACGGAGGGCACCGCCAGGTAGCCCGGCCGCCGGCCTGTCTGCTCCTGCAGAAGCAACTGGCTGGGATGCTTTGTCCTCTGAAAAGGAAGTGCTGTCATTCTACGTGCATTTATAAGATTTATTTATGGTTTTTAGAGGGGAAGGGAGGGAGAAAGAGAGGGAAAGAAGCATCAGTGTGTGGTTGCCTCTCGTGCGCCTGGGGACCCGTGCTACTGGGGACCTGGCCTGCAACCCAGGCACGTGCCCTGACTGGGAGTCGAACCGATGGCTCTGGTTCGTAGGCCAGCACTCGGTCAGCTGAGCCGCACCAGGCAGGACTCCATGCTGTAACTTTCAGGCTTCCGCCCAGCGTTTCTCGCCGTCTCTCAGAAGAAACACCGTCAGCGAGCAGCCCCCGGCTCAGCTGAAGTGCAGCCCTTCTGCATTTCCTAGTCTCCCGGGGCCGGGCCTTCTGTGTTCGGAAGCTGTTCGTTACTTTCATCCATTTCATTATCATTTTCTGGAGGCATAGCTCTCGGTTGCCGCTCCCGGTGGCTGCCGCTCCGGGTGGCAGCCCCTCCTCGCTGGGGCTGGTTGGGTCTGGTCTGCACTCGCTGGGCTCAGCCCCCTGGGGCCCCATTAGGACTGTGTAACCAACGCAGCCGCAGCCTCAGCCTCCCACAAAGTAGTTTGGAGCCAGGCTGTGTGGGGCCTGCCCACCTGCCCCAGCAGGGCCGGGCGTGTTTCCTTTGTTAAAATGTGTCAGTAGCTGATGTTTGGAGAAGCCACAGAACATTTCAAATATAAAATTTTAACACTTTCAGAGATTTAATAAGCTGATTGCACAGTGTGGACAAAGCTGTGGGTGAGCTCTGGGCCCAGGGCCGTGAGCCGGGCAACCCCCCATGTGCCCCGCACCTCCTGATGGCACCTCCACGCTATTCGGAGTCCTGGGGGCTGTGTTGGCACGGTAGACCCATGTCAGGGCCTCTGGCAATACACAGACCTCACACCGGCTGGGCCGTCGTTCGGAGCTGACTGACTGCCCTTTTGGAAGGCTCCTGGACACAGGCTTCGCAGTTTTATTCTCTTGTCTCCACTCCCCACTCGATGCTCTGCCACTGAGAGCTCTCTGTCACCTGCCACTCAAAGGCGACTCTGATCTCTGTGACTCCGGACCAGGATGACCAGTCCCGATGCAGAGGTGAAGTTGCAGTGCAGGCCCATGTCATTGATTTGCGTTCTTCAGCTTCAGGGACTGCAAGGGAGGTGAGTGGGGCCTGGCCGCCCTCTGCCCACCGCTCCCCGGGCCCCTGTGCACTATCGTCCTGGCGCACGCAGGCCGCGGGGGCTCACGATGTGTGCGGCTCCCGCGTGGCTGTCCCCCCACCCATGTGGCTCTGTGTGCTGAGGCCTCTGGGGCCCGCACCCCGCACACTCCGCTGTCCCCGCAGGCGCCAGCCCCGCACTGCTCACAGGCAGCCCCGTGGCCAAGCCCCAGGCACCCAGTGCAAATCCCGCCCAGCCTCTGCCACCGCAGTCGCCTGTGCCAAACACGTGCTGTTCAGAGCCTGGGCCTACGACGAGGGCCGGGATGTGGGCAGAATGCGTGTGTGCGTGTGAGAGAGAGATGATGACTTAGCGGTCTTCAAAGACGGGGAGGAGTTCGTTTTCTCATTAAGCTGCTGTGGCTGGAAGTAAATTACAGGGAGCCTCGTCGAGTGCCCCGATTTCTCATTCTCTCCGCAAACCTCGCGGCCTGATGGGGAACGTCTTGCCGCTGCAGCGCAAATCCACATTCTCAGCCCTCGCCGAGCGTGGCGGCAAGATCCATGCTTGGAAACGAAGGGACGTTTTTCAACCCCAAGACATAGTGAAGAAACACTTAAGCAGCGGGAGACATGTTGGGTCTCGGAAGCTCCGGGAGTCAGGGACGCTGAACCCGCGCCATGAGGCTCTGAGTGCGCAACAGGCGCGGAGCAGACCAAAAACTATCCATAATTACCCTTGATTTTGTAAACAGTGCATTTTAAATAGCTCCCAGCCCGGGGTCTTGGAGGCACTGAGGGAGGAGCCCTGCCCTTCGAAGCCGCAGTGCAGCCCCTGCTGCCCAGGACGGTGCTGGCCTTGAGGACGGCCCTGGCCTTGGCCCCAGAGCTGGGCTCCAACCTTGCCCAATTCACCCCCGTTATGCTGAGTGCGGGGGGGGGGGCAGGAGGAGAGTGCAGGAAGGCGCACGAGCTGGTGCCTGAGAACTGAGAGTGGCCATGGTCCCTGTGGCT